TCCTCCTCCTCCTCCTCGGGTCGCCTACGGCCCCTGGGGAAACCGTGCACCCCGGGCAAGGGTAGCCGGGCAGTGATTGGGCCCCGAAGCCTGTCATCATCGAGGACAGAACGACCCCTTACCTTGATGATGCGATGAAGGCGTGGCCTCACTGAGGTCCCCTTTTTTCGGCATTATGGCTAGTAGATCTTGGCGGTTTGGATCGATACGTCTGCAGAAAAGACTCCCGATCCTTCCTGTTCCTGGCTCTCCTAAGTTAGGTCGCCTCCCAGAGGGTTAGAGGTCCTTGTATGCCTAATCGCTCAAAGCGAGCTGGATTCACGAGACCAGGTCTGCCGTGGCTGGTTTTCCTTCGTGTGGCGGCAGTTCCAGTTCGTGGACTTGGGCACGGGGGGCGTGCCCCGGTACACATCACTGAACCAGGTCCCACTGAACCCAGGCCCGCCAACGCCCGAAGGTTGCCCTCCCCTCCGTGGTGAGGGCGCGAGGACAGCCTCGCGGCGCGAGGCACGAGGTTCGAAGCCAGAACCGCCAGGTCGTCCTCGTGTCCTGATCCGGAGAGGGCCTCTGGGCCGCAGGTGTTCGCCCTGGGGACCTTCTTGGGGCCCGCCTCTCGGATCTGTTCGGCTCCAGTATACGGCTGTGGCTCGGCTTCAGTTCGACTCTAGCTCGGCTTCAGTTCGACTCAAGTTCGACTCAGATCGACGGACGTTCGACGCATCATCGATGCACGAGTGGAGCGAGTGGCTCCAGGAAGCGAGGATAGCACAACCCACCCCAACCCTACCCAAGGATCCCACTCTCGACCTGATGATCCAGGGGGTCCCAGCCAGGGGTGAGGCTCGACTTCTGGCCCCCAAGCAGACCCAGAATCCCCCCCCCCGCCAGGACCCCCTGGACCACCAGTTCGGGAGTGGGGGTCCTGGATGGGGGTGGGGGTGGGTTTGCGCTGCCCGCAGTCTCGGAGCGAGCATCTAACCGCCCCCCCTCCGGTTTCCCAGCTGGGCCACCAGTGCGCCTCGAGCTTCGCGGCCCTGGCCGCAGAGTCGCCCTTCTCCAGTGGGCGGCGCGCGATCACGAAGGTGACCGCGCGGATCGTGCGCCTCGTGGCGCGCGGTCGCGAATCGCGAATCGCGGTGTCGGGTGATCTGGGTGCACGTCCCTGTCCATCCTATTGCTTTCTCCTGCCATGCCCAGGACGGGGGTGGCTGTCTCTGGAGCAGTTCCAGAGCGCCCGAGGGACCCAGCAGTGTCCGAGCCGCAGAAAGCCGCACAGTACAAGGACCCTCCTCCTTCTCCGCCTCCTCCTCCTCCTCCTCCTCGTCCTCCTCCTCCTCCTCGTCCTCCTCCTCCTTCTCCTCCTCCTCCGCCTCCTCCTCCTCCGCTCCTCCCTCCTCTTTCTCCTCCTTCTCCTCCCCCTCCTCCTCCTCCTCCTCCTCCTCCTCCTCCTCCTCCTCCACCTCCTCCTGCCAGCCGTGGGGGGCGCTCGGGCTCGGACCCCCTGGGCCGCTAGGCGCGCACGAGGCCCCGGAGGCCGCTCTGATGCATGATCCGGACTGCCTGCTCAGGCTTCAGTGCCGGCTTCCTTCGGGCCGCCGGAGTCTGCACCCTCCGGGGTGGAGGCCCTTTGGGGCGCGTGCGTCCGCCGAGGGCACATACGACGACTCTGGAACCTCTGGCGGAGAGCTGCGTTGGTCCTGGGCCCGCCCGCTGGGCCAGGCGCCGCCACCTCCCGGCCGTGGGGTCTGCGCCTGCCCTGCCCGCGTCCCGCGCGCCTCCCCTGCAGGTTCTCAGGGGGGCCGCCCCGCCGTCCGCGCCGCACCGCCCCGCCCGTCCCACGCCGCCTCCGTCCCTCCTGCCCTCCTGCCCTCCCCCGCCCGCCCGCCCGCCCGCCCTCCCTCCCCGCCTCGCCCTCCCCCGCCCCTCCCCTCCCCTCCCCTCGAATGCCCTCTCCTCCCCTCACCTTCCCTCCCCTCCCTCTCCTCCCCTCACCCCCCCTCCCACAGCCCTCCCCTCCCCTCCCCTCCCCCTCCCCTCCCCTCTCTCTCCTCCCTCCCCTCCCCTCCCCTCACCCTCCCCGTCCCCTCCCCTCCAGCCCGCCTCTCCGCCCTTCCTTCCCTCCCCCCCTCGCTCGAGGGCGGAGCCAGCCCACCCTGGTGAGGTTCCCCCCCCACGCCCTGGGGCACCCGCCCCTCCCCCGGGGTGGGCCCGGTTCTTGTGAGATCCACTGAGATCCCTCCCCCTCCTGTCCCCTCCGTCTCTCCCTCTCCCCTGCCCTCCCCTCCCCCCCTCCTCGCCCTTCACCGTTGCGTGACCGCTGTCGGAGACGCCCACCGTCCGCCTCCTCCTCCTCCTCCTTCTCCTCCCCTCCTCCTCCTTCTCCTCCCCCTCCTCCTCCTCCTCGTCCCGCCCGCCCGCGGCCCATCCACACCGCGGGATCGGCGCCGAAAAGTCGCGCCCCGCGGCAGCGTGCCCTCGAACCCGACTGGGGCCGACCAAGAGCGCCGCAGATCCGCGTCGCGTGCCTGCCCGCGTGCCTATTGCGGGCCAGCGCTTGGGATGGTGCGCGGGGGGGGGAGAGTGATATGGGGGGAAGACGAGATTAGGGAGGGGAGGAGAGGGGTAGGGGAGAGGGCGGAGGGAAGGAGGTGGGCGGACGGAGGATGGAGGGAGGGGGCGGTGGGTATGTCGTCGTCGTCGTCGTCGTCGTCGTCGTCGTCGGTGTCGTCGTCGTCGTCGTCGTCGTCGTCGTCGTCGTCGTCGTCGTCGTCGTCGTCGTCGTCGTCGTCGTCGTCGTCGTCCGTGGTCATCGTCGTCGCGATCGCTGTCGCGGTCGGCCCTGTTGCCACTGTCGGCGGCTTCCGCCTGCCGTGGCCGCCTTCGCGCGCCCTCCTCAGCCCAGGCTAGGTTGGACTCCAACGCCTCGTGGTGCGACGAGGCCCGCGCCGCAGGGGGGAGTGGTTAGCAGTAAAGCCGGGCACGTGGGGCCTGGCCTCGTGCCTGCGCCCCGACTTCGGAGGTGGCGACCAGGGCCCCCACCATCGCATCGCGTAGGCAGAGCTCCAGGAGGAGGAGGAGGAGGAGGAGAAGGAGGTGGTGGTGGAGGTGGAGGTGGAGGTGGCAACCAAGGTGGAGGAGGAGGAGGAGGAGGAGGAGCGGTTAGGAGGAGGACGAGGTGGATGTGGAGGTGGTGGTGGAGTGGATGGGAGGAGAGGAGGAGGAGGAGGAGAGGAGGAGGAGGAGCGAGAGGAGGAGGAGGAGGAAGATGAGGAGGCTGGAGGTGGAGGTGAGTGGAGGTGGAGGAGGAGAGGAGGAGGAGGAGGAGGACGAGGAAGAGGAAGAGGAGAAGGATGAGGAGGAAGAGTAGGAGGAGAAGGAGGAGGAGCAGGAGGAGGAGGAGGAGCAGGAGGAGGAGGAGCAGGAGGAGGAGGAGGAGGAGGAGGAGGAGGAGGGGGAGCGCACAGGACAGCGAAAGGTGCGACCTCATTTACAAAGGAGAGTGGATTCCAGCATGCAGAGGAGTTACGAGCGACCACCCGCTCGAAGCGTAACCCTCTGGCTCATCATCTGGGAGGGCGGGGTCGTCCGGGCCCGCTCGCGGGCCCGATCCGCAACCCAGACACCCAGGGAGGCAGCTTCCTCCCAGGGAGACAGCTTCCTTCCCAGGGCCTTCGTTGGAGGTCTGGTCTCGACCCCGTCCTCGCAGGGTTCTCAAGGACAGGAGCCACGGGGGGAGCCACTTCGGACTCGACGCGGATGGGGTCGGAGCCACTGTGGCGGACCAGGAACAACAAGCTGGACCAGCTCTGGAGGCTGGTCGAGCCCTGATTTCGGGGCTCAAGGAATTATGCCCTCATCGTGTAGCACGGAGGTGTTTCTTCGCGGGGCGAAGACCGCTCGAGATCCAATCCAATTGGCGTTCCCGCCCAGGCGTTGCCTTGCCCAGGCGATCCGACGCGAGGAGACTCCGACCACGGTGGACCCCAACGGCACAGGTCGCCCCACAGCTCGTACAGAGCGCAAGCGCCCCTTTGGGGTTATCAGACACGGCGGAGGAGGAGGAGGAGGAGGAGGAGGAGGAGGAGGAGGAGGAGGAGGAGGAGGAGGAAGAAGATGAGGCGGAGGAGGAGGAGGAGGAGGAGGAGGAGGAGGAGGAGGAGGGGGAGGAGGAGAGCGAGCGAGCATGCAGCAGTGCAGTCGAAGACGATAGCACAGAGCATAAGCAGTGAGAAAGGCGGGCTCGATCAAAACGCCGAGCCCGACGATATGGAAAGCGGAGCCCTGGGCCTTAAGGGGTTACAAGGCCAGGGCCACGCATGCTCAATCTGAGCCGTCAGAGTCCTCTCCTCCCGCCACCACTTCCACCGTCCCCCCAGAGAAGCATGCCGCCTCCACGTGGCGCAGGGCGGCGGCGACCTGCAGCAACAGGTCACTCGGGTCGGATGGAGGGGCAGAGGCTTGCGCCTCGGGGGGAGGGGAGCGAGGCAAGGTAGCACCCGTCCTGGGATGCTTGCCACGAGCAGCGAGCGCCAGCTTCCTGAGGTGCCCTTCGCGAGTCGACTTGACTCGCGACACACCTCGACATACCTTGCTGAGACCCCGACAACAGCCATCAGGGAGCACAAGCGAGCAGGCACAGGACTGGCATATAATTACTCGCCCGTATCTGATCGGGCGATGCTGCAAATTACGGAAGACACCGAGGCCATCGTCTGAGGCCGACTCTCTTGGTCTGGGGCAGGAAGAGGAAGAGGAGGTCCCCTGGGCCCCAGAAGAGGAGGAAGGTAAACCAAGGTCGGCCGACTCAGGCTTTAAAGAAAGTTCTGACTGCTGGTCAGACAACGCGCCCCCAGGAGAACCCCCAGGAGGTAAGGCAGCATCAGCAGCAGCAATGGCAACCTGAACCGAAGGGTCGCCTGGGCTGGATTCATGCTGGCTGAAAAACTCACGTGCTCGCCACGCCTGAATCTCGTCGGGCTGGCAGAGCTTACTGGCACCTGTTCGGAGCCCTTTAAGAGTGTACTCTGTGGTGGCAGACACATTACAATTTCGGCATCGCCACTCTTGGCGGGCTGGGATGAACATCAGATCGTGCTGAACAAACGTGACCGACTTACCTAAGCTATGGGGCTTTGGCGGCATGGGTGGGGGCTCAATGACTTGGCCCGCAATCCCAAAAATCTGAACAGCTCTGGAAAGATAATCCCAAGTGCGTTTCAACTTCTTAATGTGGGCCCGCTCGGCCGCAACGGCCACATCAGGCACACGATGCACGGACGACCCCACACGAGCAAAGAAATCAGCCCACAAGTTGCCACACCAATCTTCAAGGTGGCGCTAAGACAGGTGAATCACGTCCTCGAGTTCCCTATGGGCGGGGACCCAAGTGAAGGTGGGCCTCTCAAGGCCCTCGGTCACCGCAATTATCTCGCGCCGAATATCAGCGTGCAAAGATCGCGCCCCCGCAGCCGACGGATCCCAAGAGGCTCCTTCCCTAACACAAGAGAGGTGGTCACTACACACCTCGACGCCAGGGGGTGCAACCTTGATCGCCCACAATCCAGCAAACCGCTCGGCCCTAGGCACAGTCTGGCGCCCAGGCAAGGGCCCGAAACGGGCCCGCAACGGGTACCCACTGGGCCCCAACTCCACGACAGACCATCCACACCGTCTAAGCTCAGGGCTGGAGCTAGCCAGCCCTGAGCCGTCGGTGTAGACGCGCTGCCCCCACTCTTGGTGGGTCGCACCCCAATGAAGCACTGGGCACTCAGGGGAGGGAGGAAAGCTAAGCGGGTAAAACGGGAGCCCATAAGCAAGCTCTAAAGTGTCCCAATCGGCCACTAAGTGTTTAAACCCCTCATCCCTGAGTGCTTCCCTGTGCTCAATGACGTCTTCTGGGAGAGCCTCTATTTCGAGATCCTCGGGGGGAGAAGTTACAACAGGGCAATCATATAATTGGTGACCAAGGGTGGCATTCACAGCCGGGCAGAAATCACATTTTGGCTCAGCCCGCAACTTGGCAGCATGCTTCCGCGCAGGCGTCCAGCAGCCTGCGCCCAGCAGCAGACGAGCACATCCACGTCGAACGGGATCTCGTATGCTCAGGATGCCAATCCGCAACGCCCTGCGCCCGACCTGCTCGTTGCCGAAAGCCTCTGGAATATGACTGAGAACCCGCGCCATCTGCCAGCGGCCGACTCCATCAATGAGCAACTGCCTGAGCTCCATGGGCGGGGTTGTGAGCAGGTTTACCGTCCTGCCCTGGTCGTCGAGAAAAATATGTGCTGCAGACATATGCCACTTGATGCGCTCCAAAGTTAGGTAAGTCGCAGAGATCGGGCCCAAACATTTGTCCTAAGAAGGAGCACCATTGAACCTCTTCTCGATGGCCATGTACGCATGCTGCAGCTCGGCGAGCGAAAAAACTTGGTCCCAGACAGCACTGGCGTAACGCACCACCAAGTTGGTTGTACCATCAAACATGGGATCGTACTGGCTATCAGTCTGCGTGCAAAGCCATGCCGTGATGGAGGCATGGTCACGGGCCCCCACCAGGGCAGCAGCCACAGATCTCAACCTAGTCATGGTAGTCTCCGCTATCCCACTGACGCCTGCACCGTGCGCAGCAGACGGTAAGAGCCCTGTCCGCCAGGGCGTCCGTACTTTGTCTTTAGCACCTCGGACAAGGGCTTGGAGTTTGGAACGTTTAGCCATCAGGGCCGCCAATCTCTTGCGCTCCTGAATACGTCGCACACGCCCACCTGACAGCTCATGCCCAAGATTGCGCACGTGCTTATATACTTTGATACGGAGACCACGAGCAATCTTCGAAACCGTCCTCCGTGCTGCATGTCCTGTAGCCACGCAGCCCGACTTGGTGGCCTGGATTATCAATCCATACTCGAAGACCTGCTCAGTGAACCACCTGACAGCTGCGAACAATACACCAGCACCTTTAGCAGATCTACCAACCCACTGAAAACTGGCGTCGTCCATCAAGGAACCCGGAATCACGCTGCCATACATCTTCTTGAACTTGAGGAGGGTCTGATGGAGCATGAGGTGTATCATGGTTGTAGCATGCGTACATCCTGCAAGTATGCCCTGATTCGAAGTGTACGGCAGGGAGAGAGAGAGAGCCCCAACCTTTGACCACCCGTGGACTCTGGTAGTTGGCCAAGATCAGCCATAAAAGCCGAAGGGGGAAGTTGAGCTCTTTAGCACGCTGCGCCAGGCAAGGTATAATAATCATCTCGAAACACTTGTACATGTCAATCAGCACGGTGATGGAGACCTCCTGGCGCAGCTGCGCCAGCTCTGACACAACGTTGTGCGAGAAGGCAGCATCAACCGAAGTAGCACCTGCACGTGAGCCCCAGAAAGCATCATTTGAATTGGCCACCTCCCAAGCTTTAGAGAGAGGTCGGCGCAGGCGTCCCCATATTCGCACGATAGTCTGGATGAGGGCGATTAAGCGATGCCCTCCTGACTCCTTGGGCAAACGCACCATTCGAGTTTGGATTCGCTCCTCAGGCCAGGCGCAGATTTGTTCGCACTTGTGCAAGAGAGAGATAAGCGTAGTGAGGCCCACGTCAGACACCACGTCAAGGCTACGTGGATGGATATTGCACTGCCCAAGGGCCGTTCTCGCTGGGAATCGCCTCAAAACCCATCTCAAGTCTTGCAGCTGAATATCTGGCAACTTGGCCCAAGTGTGAAAATCCGTGGGCAACTCGAGCGGCTTCTGATGATGAGTGGGCCAGATCGTAGCCCACGTGTCTAGACAGTCATCAGCACGCTGGTAAGGGTGGGGTCTATCCGAATACTCCAGGACCTCTTGAAGCTGACGTACTTTGGCAAACCGGTGTGCCTGACGCGCGCCTCCCTGAAAAGAGGCAGCCGCCCAAGCCTGCCACTCTTGGGTCTTGAAATAGCCCACAGTATGGATAACGCGATCTACTTTGTCCAGCACTTTCTGAACGTCGGACTCCAAGGTAGGCGCACTGAAGGTGACGTGCAAATTCTGGATAAAATTGCGATCCTCGACGTCCAAGAGCGGCGGCACCCACTTGTTACGCGAAACTCTGTGGAAGAAGCCCTGGAGGTCCCAGGCCAACTTAGTGAACAACCGAACCTCATCTTGCAATATCTGTGCATCGTCCTCGCGAATGAGGTCGGCCTGAAAGGAACCGAAGGTGCTGAGCGCACGAGTCCAATCCGAGGCCCGCTGGAGCTGGATGCCCGCAACTGGCAGCATATGGCGTGGAAAGACCCCAGGCTTGCAGTCTCGATTCTCTTGGAGAATAGATACGCTCTTTGCCATGCGCATCTTCATGGCCCGCATATGGCGAGCCCAACGTCCAAGTATCTTGTGCGCTGCCAACCTCTGTGGTGGCCTCGCATCTGGAGCTCTCAGCTGCTTCCACTCCCAAGTAGGGGGGCCAGCCCGACCTTGGTGCCTGCAGCGTCGCTGAGAGTCAATGATATCATATCGATCAAGGACTTCACCTTCCAAGCGAACAATAACAGCATCCCAAGCGGCAGCAAGTTGTTGTGGGTTCTGGGCGCCATCAATCAGATCCTGCGCAACTTGCCACTCCCGAAGAGGCGGGAATCTAGAGCACCCTGGGTGAGGCACAGGGTCAACTGCAAGGGGCTGGACAGGTACTCTCGTCCACATCACTTGTTCAGACTGCATCGTCGTGACGGGGGCGGGCAGATGCGGGAAGAGATCAGTGTCCTCCCGAACCTCACAAGTGCCCGACCTGGTGGCCAGCGCTGCTGACATGCAGATGTAGTCATACATGGACCCAGGCTTGCTCTGCAAACAAGTCGGGCACGACGGGTGCACGACGATGCCACTGAGACTGTTGAAGAAAGGTCGGAGAAGGTAAATGTCCATATTCCAATCTCCCGCTATCAGCCAGGACCTGCCCTGAGCTTCGAGCGAGGTGATGTATTCAGCAGCCTTGGTTAAGATGTCGATATTGGCGTCGCTGAGGCCCTCGCTATCCCGAAGGTAGATGCTGATCATGGTAATGCCGCCTTTGGGCCCCCAGAACACTTGAGCAGCCAAAAGTCTCCCTGGGGCGATCTCCACGGGGCACTGGGGCGCCTGGGTGATGGACACACGCGCGGGCGCCAGGATCGCCATGCCGCCGAAAGTGCCACCTCGATCAGTCGGTGGCGCAGCTGCCCACAGACCAGTAAAGCCCGCTCGAGCAGCCTGGTGCTGGACGTCGGCGAGACGAGCGGCATCAGCATGGTGCTCTTGTATGAGAAAGATGCTGGTGGCCGCCCACGGAGACTTGAGCATGTCTATCAAAGGCCCATGTGAGCTGACATTGGCAGTGACGACATGCTGGATGCTTGTCGTGGCGGCGCCAGATTGCGCCTCAGCAGCCCGGCTCTCGAAAGAGGCAGAGGTGGCTGCTGCGCTGCTCTTGACGGACTCCACGGTGTGAAAGCACGACACCAGTGCAAGCAATGGTACAGCACGTCGTGGTCGACGCCGCACCGTCACCTCATGGGCTGGTTGGCCTGTCGCTGTGTCCTGGCACTGAGTTTGCATGTTACTACTTCTTTGTCCAAGCCACGTCCGACAAAGGCGCCGAGCTGGGCGAGAGGGTGTAGCAGGCGACGCTACGTGCCTGTGGGCCAAGCCCACACTAGCACAAGACTCCCCTCTCCCCAGCGTCGGCCATGACGAGAGATGTCCCAGACGGGCCGAGGGTCCCCGAGCCTCCTCAGAAGCAGCCCAAGGCGCAGGGTCTCTCAGGGGAAACACCAGCGGTGGCGGATGGCCTGGATCTGATATTAGATCCCATTGGTAGTGGCTGAAGTGGTAGGCCAGCGCGGTGCCAGCGCAGACGCCGCAGAAGTTGATGCACTCAACTCCGCTGAAGAGAACGTGGTAGCTGATCACGACAACGCGCGCGAACAGCTTGACATCAAGATACGACGATAAAGTAAGACTCCCCATTAGATGCACAGACAGCGCCAGCATGAAGACCAGCACTGCAAATATAAGAAACCCAATCCACTGCATCATCTGCTTGAGGCAGCAAGTCGGGTCCACGCCTCCGACGCCAGGCGCAAGGGCAAGCCCCAGAACTTTAAGGCTATGCCACCCGACGTCATGGGAGGGACACGCCGACAGGGCCACAGCAGTCACATCCATGCCCAGGACGAATGAGTTAAGCAGAACCTGTACTTGCACCAGGTGCCGCACCGTCCTGGCCCACACGGCGCTTCTTGGCATAGTTCTTGGCAGCGGCGATCCACCTCTTGGCGGCGGCTCTGATCTGCTCCTCCTCCTCAGGCGGCTCACTGCCTGTGATGTCACGGTAGTATGCTTTGAGCTCCTCGATGTCGTCAGTGTCCATGGGAACTGCCGCCTTGTCTGCCGCGCGCACCTCCTCGGCCGACGGCATGTCGGCCCTGGGTGGTGCAGTCGGTGGCGCAGCGGGCGGCTTGGCCTCGGCCTTCGTCTTAAGCTCACGCAGGGCTGCGAAGGACTTCTCGACGACACCTCCGAGGGTTTCATCGGCTCCGACTCCCGAGAGGAGCTCTCCCAGCTGCTGGACCGACAAGTCGAGGGCGGGCACCATCGTGGTAAGATTGAACTGGCCTGGGACCGACAAGTCGAGGGCGGGCACCATCGTGGTAAGATTGAACTGGCCTGGGACGGGGACAGGTCCTTTCGTGGCGACGGCATGCCGCTGCGTTTCCAGATCCATCCTCTCAGTGGCCAGCTCACTGGCCAGCTTCTCTGCTTGTGCAAGCTGGGCAGCAATGTCAGCTTGCTGCTCTTGGAGGCTAGCGATAGTCTTCTGCTGCTTGGCCTCTTGGAGCTGAATGGCTTCGATGCGAGTCGTCCAGTGCTGCACTTGGGCAGCATATGGCTTGCTGGAGACCAACTTGGACTTGAGCGCATCCCTCTCGGCGATGAGATCACTCTTGGCCTTGATGAGGATGGCCTCCGACGGCGTGCCGAGCTGCCGTAATGATGCGGCGATCTCATTGAGGCGCTTGTGCTCAGGGTCATTGGCCGCATCGGCCTCGGGCAACAGGGCTGAGCCACCTGTCGCCTCCTTGAGCTTGTTGTCCTGCAGGGCTTGCTTGAGGCGCGAGATCTCGGCGTCCTTGTCTCGCAGCGCCTGCTGGGAGACCGCCGACTGGCCTTTGCCTGCACCCTTGGTCTGCGACAGGCTGATGCTGGGGGCCTTGGGCAGCTTGTGTCCACCGAGCGCTGGCCCCTTCGCAGTGTGACACTGCGTGCATGCTTGCTTGTCACCTCCATTCCACCAGCGCTCGCCCGAACGCGGGTGCAGGCACCAGCGGCAGTACCACGGGCCAGCCGCCCACGCCCTGCGCGTGCTTGGAGCAGAAGGTCCATTGGCCATCACACACGTGTGAACGCAAGGGAGGCGAGCTGGGGACGTTCGGTCCCGAGTATGCTTGTGAGTAAGTTTGTAAGCAGTGTCTCCAGCCTGGGCAGGCGCTGGGGAGACACGAGAGCGGTGAGGGCCGCAAGGTTCCCTCTTGCCAGAATGTCAAGTCCTGAGCGAAACGCTACGGACTTGAGCCAAAATGGCTACGGAAGGGGGGGGAGGAGGAGAAGGAGGGGGAGGAGGAGGAGGAGGAGGATCAGGAGCAGGAGCAGGAGCAGGAGCAGGAGCAGGAGCAGGATGAGGGACAGTTGACAGGATCCTTACGCGGCCAGGGGGTGCGCCAGGGTTGAGTGCGCACCGATGGGCCCGTCTTCTGAGAACGAGCCTTACTATCTTGTGTCCGTGTTGGTAGACGGCCTTCACCACCTGCTTCCCCGGGCGCTTCCAGAGGGGGATGATCGAAAAGAACAAATCTGGAGTGTGTGCTACGGTGTTTGTGTGGTTAAACCAACCCATCGCCTCTGACGTCGGAGGCATAAGCCTAGTTACGAACCTTCTGGAGAGATGACACAGGACGGATGATGTCGGATGAGGGAGGGACAGGAGATGGAAGGGAGATAATGGCGTGGAGGGGGTGATGATGATGATGATGCTGATGCTGATGCTGATGCTGATGATGTTGATGATGATGATGGTGATGATGATGATGACGCGAGGATGAGGATGTTGATGAGGATGATGGTGGTGATGCTGATGCTGATGATGAGGAGGATGATGATGATGCTGATGCTGATGCTGATGATCTTGGTGATGATGATGATGATGATGACCATGATGATGCTGATGATGATGATGATGATGCTGCTGATGATGATGGTGAGGACGATGATGATACTAATGCTGCTGATGCTGCTGCTGACAATGATGATGATATGGTGATGATGATGGTGAGGACGATGATGATGATAGCGACGACGATGATGATGATGATGATGATGATGATGATGATGATGATGATGCAGATGCTGATGATGCTGATGACGATGGCGGCAATCATGATCATGGTGATGATGCTGAGGATGAGGATGGTGTTGCTGATACTGCTGA